GCCAGAGAAGATTTACAATAGGATCATTATTTGTTATTTTATACCTGAATCGATTAACTCACACAAGTTAGTAAAACAGAAAGAAAGAAAAACAAGACACAACAACTAGTCAGATAGATATGCAAAATCGTTTAACTCCCCAGCAGCGGCGCCAAAAAGTGATCGGCTCCAGCCCTACACCACTATATAATGGCAAGGAGTGGTCAATGCAACTTTTACCCGAAAGGTCGGGATAGATTTCCCCAGGGAGTTAATATTGGTTGGGAGTTGGGTTTCTATCTACTCTAGCTATGTGTGTTTCTTTTAAGTGCACTTCTAACGATGTTTGGATTTGTTACTATTCTACTTTTAATAATATTGAATCCTGAAAATGAACTAAGTATAATGTTTTCTCAAGTTATAAAAAGCACTAGTGAAGTGACTTACACCTAGGCGAGTATCTAATGGGATATAAAATTTAGGACAAGCTTGTTATATTTGGGGTCGTGATATAATCTTTATACATAGTTACTCACTCTATACCTCTTGGTAGTTTGAGTGACTTTGCCTTAATTGGCTTTCTCAAGCCCAATTGGGTGTTCAAATAATGCAAGTAAAATTGGCTCAAGTCGAGTATTACTATCTCTAGGTTTAATCCTTTAATTGGGACTATCAATCTCTTGAGTGCACCCCAATTTCTTGTTAGCCTAATTTTCCTAGACTTAGTCCATCTTTCTCAAGAAGAGTCTAAGTCATAAAGGCATGAATCAGTGGTTGCAACCAATAATTCTACAATTAAAGTATGAATCAAGCTAAATATTACTAACCCATAAATAATTAAGCCCTAAAATAGAAGACCCATTAAATATCCACACTAGAGTTGGGTCACAACCCTAGCTAATGGGTTTAGTTACTCATAATCAAAGTAGAAATCAAAGATCAAGATGAAATATAAGCCATAAAAGTTGATTACAAGAATAAAATCTAAGAATATAAATTAAAGCTACTTTAAAATTACTCAAAGTAGTAAAGTACGGCTGTTTACGAGCTCCCTGATACAAAAGATAACCTAAAAATGTGAAAAAGATCTATTTATACACAGCTAAAATTACTGGACAAAAATACCCTTACGGAGGTTTCGTTGTCAGCGAAATACTGGGCGCCTCAGTGCATGAACTTTCGAGGCCACGCAAAAGCAAGTGCGGACCGTGGTTCTTCTCTTTTGTGCTTGGTCTAGACTGGATCCCGTGGGGAGTGTAAAAATGACCGCCTCGGCGTTAGCATCAACCGCGGCCGCGCAGTTTGGACGCGGACCGCGCTCCTCAGTTAGGCTCACTTTGCAGGGTCTCTGAATCTCTATTTCGCCCTCAGCGTAATTTGCATTGCGGCCGCGTCAAGTATTCCATTGCCGTGCTATTTCACTGCGGTCAGCGGTATCTATTGTACCCCAAAATGCCTTCTCTAAATCTCAATTCTGCTGTCAGTATAATTGTGGCCGCCCTAGCGGTGGACCTCCCGCGGCCGCTCTTTTCCTTCGCGGTCAGCGCTTTTATATCAGCTTTGAACTTGTGCAACTTTAACTCCTTCAGGAGTTGGTTGTGGTTTTCTTGCCTCATTTTGACCAAACCCTGCAAACAAGCACAATAAGTCAATTATCGGGAATATTTTTACACATTTTTTTATCCAAAACCTAAGCAAAAGAGAGCATAAGATAGGCTAGAATCCATAGTTATCACTCATCTTGGTTTATGTTTTGATTGGCTATATGACTATATTTGCTCTCTTATTTATGTTAGAGATCATGCCTAGGTTTATGAATATTTATGAAGGCATGGGAGCTTATTCTTAATATGTTGAATTGCTTGAATTATCTGTGTCATATAGAAATTATATGAGCATATATCTGCATAATTATTATTAAGTCCTTATGCATCTTTTATCTATTAATTTTTGGGTATGTGCATACGTATCATATTTGGATACTTGATCTGGACTGATATTGTGGAATGAAAAGTAAGGTCAAGCGATTGAGATACAGTTATGTGCCTATTGCACACAGGACATTATGAGTGATATTTGATTATAAGTGAGCTATCAAGCTCCTTTTTGCGCTTGGATAAGGATTTGTCCCTCTAAAGTCAGGTGGTAACTCATGTTACTTTGGGCCCTATGAGTGTGGTCGACACATGGATTGTGTATCGGGTTTCAGTGATACATAGATTGTATATGGAGTTCAGTGATACATAAACTGTGTGTCGGGGTACATGGATCATATACCAGTTATGGTGAGTAATAGAGTTTGAGCATGCATAGACATTCCTGATTCATTTAGAAGCATTCATTTAAATGCTAACTATTGCATGCCACTTATATATATGAATGGGGAGCCTCGACCCATTGATTGAAGTATGCCATCTTTAAATGTTATCTGAGTAGCGTTATGATTATCTCTTGAATTGGAAAAGCATACTTTATACTTTTCAAATGTTTTACATCTTTAATAATTGTTGTTCATGAAATTATTTACAGTTTCAGTTCTGAGCTATGTTATTTATATCTGTGTTGTAAGTATCTGATGCCTATAGCCTCACATCAACTTCTATCTAGGTTAAACTTGATACTTACTAGGTTCCGATTGTGTTGTACTCATGCTACGTTTATGCACATCTTTTTGTGCAGATCCTCGTGAGTACTAGCGGGGCCTCTTGTTGGGCCTGGGAGTTTGCTCGGAGACTTAAGATGAGCTACACTCCATGGATTCATTCCGCAATGTCCGAGTCCCTATCTTTTATTATCCTCTGCCTACTTTCGTTATCTCGGTCAGTTTTGATCATGTATTCAAACTTGTACTTATTCAGTAGTTGCTCGTGTACTTGTGTCACCTAGTCCTTAGGGGTTATACCATTTTGATCATGTTCGGACCATATTATGACTGTATCAAATATTGTGTTGTTTTGAGATTATTCCTATATTTATTTATAATATGACTTTGTTAATTAAAGAAATATGGACTATGCTTATCAAATATGGCTAGGCGCCATCACGATCTAAGATGGAATTTTGGGTCGTGATACAACTCGTTCTAGATTACAAGTTGCATTTTTTCTTAAATATGAGACATACACTACCAAACGCATATATTGAACATTGTCATTCCGGCGACTACATTTTCAATGTAACACTGTTGCTCTCTAAGAAATCTATCATTTATCAAGATATATTGAAGATAATTGAATCAAATAGTGATGAATAATTTAAGTACTCAATTAAAAATCGATTATTTTTAACATGAAATAAATTCTTGTACTTAGCAAAAGAAAACTATCAATCAAACTAGATTGTAAAGGCAAAGAATAAAATTATTATAATAGCAAAGATCTAGACTAAAACTACAAATGACTAATATGTACTATAAAATTTTAAAAACTTTATATAAAAATATACATATATATAGATGTAATAATAAATTTAAATAGCTACTTTAATAGTCTGTTTGGTTCAATTTTTTCCGATTATTTTTTATTAAAACCAAAACCAAACCAAATTTGATCGATTTTTAAAATTCAAAACCAAAACCAAATCAAACCTAAAAAGTATCGGGTTTTTTGGTCGATTTGGTTTGGTTTGATTTTTCGGATTTTTATGAACACCCCTGCCCAGATGGATGAAACGTGAAATATATCATAATAATTCAATCTAGGTTGAAATCTTCTATAGTCATCATGATAACCTACTTCCAAACGTAGCCAATGTACCTGTTGTGTCGATTCATTAAACTATAGGAGCACAATTTATAAGGCATCTTACGATGTTACGGCGTAGGACACTGATTGAATATTTTCTATGTAACAAAATAACCAAAAGACATCGAAAATGAAAACCACAGAAAGCAAACCTTAGATCTGAACGTAGGATGACAAAGAAATGAACATGACTTTACTTTTTCATCAACTTTTTTAGCACTCAATGATCAATCATCATCACCACGATGCTCTTAGCCTGTTTGCTAAATTGTTGCTGGTTTCATACATCTCACGTTTCACATTTGCAGCTAAAGACATAGTTCAGTGCCATTTAAATGCCACAACGAGTTAATAGGAGATCATAGAATCCTCTAAGATGTTCATTACATAAGGAGCCACCAAATTCAGATGAGAGCACACACAAACTTCAGGTTTTAAGAGCATTCTAGCTAAGTGGCAAAATCTCTGAGACCAGCAAAAGATAAGCTTTTGATAGAGCATACCGTGACAGACACTGATCATCATCAATCAAATTGAAAACCATTGAATGAGTACAGTTCATCAACCAACAAGCTGTACTCAAATACACAACATAGAAACCAAAGATAAGATCATGAAAATTTCACCCAACAAAACTTATGGGTTGGCATAGTGAAAAAGGAAAACATTCACCTCCTCTTTAGTCAAAGAAAAATTTAGCATTCTCGTACTTAACATCAATACTCAGATGGAGAAATCACGTCATCAATCTTTAGAATCATCTTGACAACCTGAGTTGCAAGCAATATCTGTTGTTGCTTCCCAATTAAAGTCTCGAAGACATTTTGCTCCCGCATGTCATTTGTGCCAACATCATTGCAGTCTATTCCACAGCATGGATTGTTCTCCTGCGTAAAAGATTTGAAGTTAAGGTTACAACACAATGATTTGAAAACATCCGATACATACACGACAGAAATGGGAAGAACAGCTTCCGAAACTTTCTTTTCTAACACTCAACAGCCTGGGATATGTCACGATATGTCACAAGGTTATAACACAATTGTTCTGAAACATCAGATACATACATGACAGAAAATGGGAAGAACAGCTTCTGAAACTTTTTTCTTTTTCTAACACTCAACAGCCTGGGATATGTCATAAGGTCATAAAAAAGTGTTCTGAAAACATCGGATACATCGATGACAGAAAATGAGACAAACAGCTTCTGAAACTTTTTTCTTCTTTTTCTTACACTCAACAGCCTGGGATAAGTCATAGTACGACCCTTCAATATTGGACTAATTTTAATATTGATCCTAGGTACTAATAAGCTGGATTACCTTAATTTGCTGAGCCTTAACAGCAGATAGAGTTTCAATGGGCTGCAGACCACTGTTCTCAGCAAGTGCCATTGGGACAGAATCCAAAGCATCAGCAAATGCCCTGATTGCATACTGCAGAGAGAAGGATTGAGGCCTCAGCTAATGACAGTTAAATACAAAAGGCATATAAAGAAAAATTGGAAGAGAAAAAGTAAAGCTACCTGCTCAACTCCTGGATGTTTATCAGCAGCCGCTTCCACAGCAATTGAGCAAGAAATCTCTGCTGAACCACCACCATAAACAATTGAATTGTTGCGAATAAGATTTCTAGCAACGCATAAAGCATCATGGATACTACGTTTCGTCTCCTCTATCATCATCTTGTTGCCTGTACATTGATCAAATAACAGCTCAGGCATCCAAATTCATGACGGTTCTTGCAGTATGTAATGTCATTCACATAGTGCACCATAATCTTTAGAACAAGAACCTCAAATTTGCATAGGTTAAAACACACTGCACCATGAATTCCACCCAGAACAAATGGCACCAACCTTGATGACAGCAAACTATGCATACTTTTAGCTTAATTCCCATCTACCAGGTTAGATACACTTAGACCGGGTTGGGGGAGGGGGGATATTTTAATAAACCAATCTATCTTCTAGAAATTGTACTGTTCGTTTTGGTTTTGAAAAATAGAAAGACCATAGAGTTTCATTTTTATTTTGTTTGTCAATATAAACCGTAGAAAACCAAATTGATCTATGTTTCTATTGCTTATCCTAAACAGTGTTTTAAAAGGCGTTTTCGGGGCAAGCCTTGGAGCGAGGAGCACCAAAAACGCCCCGAGGCGATGGTGTGGGGCGAAAGTCTCAAGAGGCGTACGCCCAGCAATTCAGAGCATACGCCCGGGCGTTTGAGACGTGTTTTTTAGTGAGGCGTAAGCCCCGGAGACTTTCGATTAAAACAAAATTTGGTGAATAAGCCCTTCATATAATACCCAAATTCTCAAAAATCAGCTTGGTAATTACTCACAAATTTTAAAAGGAACTGAAATGTATTAAATTTAAAAATGAAGACCTTTTATTATTGATTGAAGCCCTAATTCATGGTATTTTCCAATTCTTTATCTTGTCCGCTAGTATGTTAATATTCTCAAAGCAACGAATATTCAAATTTTTTTTACAAATACAAAGAGAACTCTATTCTCCTTCATAGCAGCAAGTTTAAAGTTCAAATTGCAGATTAGTCATCATTTTTGTTCCTCCATAGAGATAACTTTATTCTTGTAGACTCAAGTTACTTGTGCTCATAAATAGCGTATAATAGATTGTTTTGACTAGTTTTTGCGGGGATGGAGCACGCGCGCGCGCACACACACACACACACATATATATATATATAGTTTTCTTCAATTTTTATGCAATTTTACCTATTTATAAATATTTACTATACTTATATTATTTTATAAATTAAATACCTATGGGGCTTACGCCTCGCTGAGGCATATATAAAACGCCTCGCCTTATGCCCACGTCTTTTAAAACACTGATCCTAAATAAGCACTTTTTGAGGAAATGCTATTCACTGAGCATTTAAAATGTGCTTTACTTTTTTGTTAAGACTTTTTTGTGGTCATGGATTTGTTTAGTAGGTATATTTTAAATGTCATATCCAAGTTGACAAGTAATTACAAAAGCATGTTTGATTTTAACGAATGATTTTTCACTTTCACACAATGCAATGTTAGGGGAAACATATTTTTTAAACGTTAAACCAGATCAAATCAAACCAATGACATTGCATACAGCAAGAACCATCGGATTTAAATATTACTCCCTCTGTCCCAATTTATATAGCACTCTTTCCTTTTTATAGCCTATTTACCCAAGCTTCTTTTTGGCCAAAAATGATTTTTTTAAAAGCGCTTTTTTCCCAAATTGGGGTTTTGGCCAAGCTTTTAGAAGGACAAAATGTGTTTGACTAAAAGCAGAAGCAGTTTTTGAGAGGCAAAAAAAATAGATTCTCCCTAAAACACTTTTTTTGAAAAGAACTTTTGAGAAAAATGCACTTAGAAACACTTCCTAAAAACTTGGCCAAACACTAATTGTTGCTCTAAAGCTATGTTGCTCCGACTCTCCAAAAGTGTTGTTGGGTGCGTGTCGGATCCTCCAAAAATGCACTAAATTTGGAGGATCCGACACGCACCCAACAACATTTTTGAAGAGTCCGAGAAACATAACTCAAAAGTGCTTTTCAAGTTAGCTTCTCACCAAATGTTTGAAAAGCACTTTTGAGAAAAGTACTTTTCCAAATAAGCTGATTTTACACGCTTGTCAAAACAGGCTATAAGTTTGTCCCAAAAAGAATGTCACTTTTCTGAATTTAGAAATATTTTATTTTAAAATTTTTGATTTACTCTCAATGAGATAATTTCTAGTCACACAAATCTCAACGGCTTATTTTAGACCACAAGTTTCAAAAATCTTCTTTTTTTTTTCTTAAGCTTCGCACCTTGTCAAATGGTGCCACATAAATTGGGATACGAAGGGAGTATTTGATTGATTTGGCTTTTATTTCTCATAGTAGTTTGGTTTTTCCTGTTTGGGTAAAGTGTGGACCATCTGAACCACGCAAACACTTAAATAGACCGACAGACCAAACTATTTCAACTCAGCACAAATTGGAGCTGTCCTCAAACTCTTAGGGGAAAAAATGCTTCAAAAGAGAATTAATGCTTGATTACCAAGGTCATGACATTATGTACTGTCATCTAGATCCAAGGAGCATCAATATGTAGAGTTCAATAGTAAATGGTTAACTGTCACAATTTAATGAACATGCACAGACAGGGCAAGGGCAAAGTACAGAAGATCCAAATACACGTTAATTATTGTGAATACTGATTAACAGCTTAAAAACTAACAAAAAGCACATGTGATTTCCATTGGCAGCAGAATGAACTAATAAGGCATTTCAGAAGCAACATTGATTAACAACTAAAAAAAATCAAAATCCAACAAATGCAAATTTCCATCAACAGTAAAATGTACTAACAAGGCATTCCAGCAGGCAACCAACTTACCACCACGGATGAATATAGTTACTGCCCTTGAATTTGCACAATGTTCAATGTATATCATTCTGTCCTTTGTAGTACCAAAAGACTTCTCCCGAACTATACCAGCCTGAACTTATAAAACATCATATTTAGCCAGTAGAGAGAAGTACAGATCCATAAGCACATGGAGTAACATTAGTAAATATAGAAAGATTAATGAAATGAAAAGGCTCTCACAGAATATTTAGCAAGCTACGAATGTCTGTTGTTCCTAGGTACTACTGAACGAGAAAGACTTTCACAACATATTTGTGCGCTTCATTAACAATATATATATGCAAAAGATGTATAACCTATCCATAAACTTTAAGATAAGCCGGTTATTTGCTTTGAGAAAACTAACCAATCTTCTTTTAACAACTTCCACACAAAACTTAGACCATACATGTCCACGATGTTTCATAGATACATAATATACGTCCACAATTAGAGCAGAAAGAAAGGTGTCTAAAGGGGTGTACCTTGCCAAGTTTTTCAGGTGTCAACTCTTGAAACCTTGGTACTATTCTCCCACCTAATCAGATGCACAAATACCAAGAACATGCAATTAAAGTATCAGATCCAACAGAAACACAGGAAGATGAAGGCATCATATCAATAAGAAAAGTAGACACAAACCTGTGGCAATTGCTATCAGCTCCAATTCCACACCACCTACCCATCTAACAGCAGGCAAATTTCTATGCATTAATAAGTGATTTGCTTCATCATCAAAACCCCACTGGCAGATAACTAATGTGGCACCAACATCCTGTTAGGTATTGGCACAGTTGTTAGACAAATGAAGCTCCATAGAAGAATTTAAGGAAATAAAGATCCTGATAAGATCAACTGCATGTAAAACCACATACTGCAACAACAGGCCCTAAAACCTCACATCATAGATCTCGCATCACCAAATGAAGGTCTTTTATATATGAGTCAATGATAATTGTGAGCTAAACATTAGCATCGACTGCCTCTACTTGTTTATGCTAATAGCAGACCACACAGTAGGCAAGAAGGGAGAACAGATATCTCTGCATTGCATTCTTAATTTAGTTTTGCATATGCAAAAAATAACTGGAAACAACAAATTCCTTTGCTTAAAGAAATAAATGTGTGTGAGAGAGAACTGCGAAGGGAATAGGTTTTGCAACATTATCACCTGAAAATTCAGGGGAAAAACTACAGTTTCAGCTGATCATAGATCTCACATCACCAAATGAAGGTCTTTTATATATGAGTCAATGATAATTGTGAGCTAAACATTGGCATCGACTGCCTCTACTTGTTTATGCTAATAGCAGACCACACAGTAGGCAAGAAGGGAGAACAGATATCTCTGCATTGCATTCTTAATTTAGTTTTGCATATGCAAAAAATAACTGGAAACAACAAATTCCTTTGCTTAAAGAAATAAATGTGTGTGAGAGAGAACTGCGAAGGGAATAGGTTTTGCAACATTATCACCTGAAAATTCAGGGGAAAAACTAGTTTCAGCTGATCATAGACTTTACATTACTCCAATACATCTACAAGGGCTAAGACACATCCATTAAGCTTTTATTGCCCCAACCCTCCCATTTTCATTGCCTTATTGGAACAAAAAGAATAGGTTCAACTCCTTCTTCTTATTTTCCTGTAGAAAAGGTTTCTCAACCATCTATAACTCACATACAAATGCTGCAGTTTTACCTTGCATTTCTGAACCATGTCATCAAAATACTTCTGCTCTTGTTGGCGTAAAGTTTGAAACTTTTCCACAGAATCAATGTCAACCTTATGTTTGGTCTTTGGCTTTGGAGGCTCAAAAGGACATGTCAGAATCGCAATTTTGGCATCCTCAATTTGCTTTGGCATCTGTGGATGACTCATATCTTTGTCAACTACAATACCATAAATTAGCTCTGTGTCCTCTAACTTTCCACCAACTTTTCCTTCGACTTTAATTAAGTCCAGGTTTACATCCTTCCTCTCCAAATCAGCAACTGCTAGAACTGCTTTAACAGCAATTTCCGCCATACTACGCTTGCATCTATTCACACTGCAGTAAATCATTCATATCAAAACAAGTAAAATTTTGCTGCAGGCTAGTCAGCATTGTAATCAGTACTAGAAGTAGCAAATAGAATCCATGATGCATTCCTGAATAAATTACACGCCTGTCCGCAACGTGATAAAGTACAATTACACAACGTATGAAATCCTTTTTTAATAAGGTCACAACATATGAAATCCTAACCAGACACTGAAATTGACTTGTCACTTACATCTTGGATGACAAAGTAGTCATGCAGGTTTGAATCAAAGGCTCAACATCATTCAGACCGAATTCAAACTTGTTTGCTACGCACTCCAAATGCTCAACTGCAATCCTTGAAGCCATTTCATACCCTTCTGCAACCCGTATAGGATGAATACCACGTTCTAACAACTTCTCAGCTTGTTCTAGAAGTGCCCCAGCCATGACAACAACTCCAGTGGTTCCATCACCAATTTCGTAATCTTGACTTCGTGACAACTCAACCATCAACTTCGCAATCTGATTGTCAACATCCATCTGCTCCAAAATGGTTGCACCATCATTTGCTGACAATACAAATCTCCAATATTAGTAAACTCTAAACAAGTGATGAGATTTGTATACATAGGTTGGATGAAGAAAGAGAAGAGCGCAACGTAGTGTCAACTATGCGTTCAAAATATTACTGCTCTGGCCAAACATAAGTAGATTATAACTACTGTATAGAATAAAGGCACGTCTGAAAGAAAGAAAGAAAAAAAAAACATGACCTCATCAAAAAGCTTAAAGAAAGGCCTCAAATGGCTTGCCTTTTGAATAAGGCAAAGCTCCAAGGAAAAATTACTGTGTGATGCCCTATGGTCCATCACAAAAACTACATTTCCAAAAACATTGATTAGAAAATCATAAGAAGCAGGATCATTTTGCATTCTTATAGGGAAGGCATGCATGAGGCTAATCACATTAAAGCCACACACGCCCGTTTCCCCCACCCCAAACCCAACCGCACCCCACTCCAAGGAAAACAAAACAGACCCTCTTAATGGGGAACACAGGCAATAAACTATAATAGAAACTGCTCTAACAATAGTCTCCAAAAGCAATAAATGGTATTGTTACTTCTCAAACATTATAATGTATCTTTCACATTTGAACCTTGCAAGGAAATGAACAAGAATAGACATAAAGTAAAGATTTCCTCCCTTGACTGTTCACAATTCCCACATCAGAAATACTACTAATCTGTACAAACTAAAATCACATCCTAAAACAAACCTAACAAAGCCAACTCCCACGAATAAAATGTACCAAGGGTAAGCACTATTCGCTTTGAATTCCTCTGAAAACCACAAGTAATAGCAGACACTCATACTGATATACATCACATCAAACAGATTAAATGAAACAGACATAACTTAAACAAACAATGGAGGTCCAAACTGCAGGAGCACAACTAACTAGATGCTAGAACTCTATCCAGTCACAGTCAATATTCTACTAAGTCTAACAACTGAAAAAGAACTCATAAGCTCACTCATTGCAACCTCTGACGAAATTTCTCAGGATCAGTTATGCATCTACAACAAAATGAGATACACCTAACAGAACCAGATCTACTGATCTCACAGTTTCTCACATGTTATTCAGAATCTCAAGATTACAACTAGCAAAGCAGAATCCGCTTACTTAAAAATAAAACGTGTCAAGTATGTTCTATCAAGATGTCATTTTTGGTGTTTGATTACCAATGAATATTTTCCCAGGGCACATTTTCCACCAAGATGTGGAAACTGACCTCCCTCCCTCATGCTCATTCCTTTATGCATCCCAGCTCATACTCCATATCACTTGTGGCAACCATTGCTTAAACAATACAATGAATCTTTGAAGCTCAAAATTTTCTTTAAAACACTATCCAATTCTTATCAATCCTTAACAAATATTTTCCCCTGAAAATATTTTCTGCCCACCGACCAAACTTCCCTGGAGAGCACTTTGCACGAAAGCATTAATCTACGGAAACATTCACCTTCCTACCGAACACACCAAATAACAAGTTCTAAAAAATCAAATCAAAACCAAAAAGGACACCTTTTTTTAAACCGTAAATCTCAAAAGTAGTAATACGGAGCTAGAATAAGGTAAATCAAACGTGAATGAATAGTATGGAATAAGAATATACTGATGGTGACATCGCCGTCGGGGCTCTGAAGCATCTTATCCATGCCTTTAGGACCCAATGAGGTACGCAGGATACGCGCAACAGCTTTTCCGGCGGAAATGTTGGCCTTTTGAGCATCGAGGCCTCTTAATCTGGTTTTCTGTTCTTGCTCCCTTAGTATTATGAACGGCCTTCCGAATTCATCGAAAGCTAAAGCCATTGTTTCCGGTGACCTGCTATCCGGTCAGATCGGATACTGAAAATCTCCGGCGACGACGACAGAAAGAGGGTTTCGCGATGAATCTAGAAGGGTTTCAGAACCCTAGCTGCGATAAACCCTAAACATGAAAATGCTCCCGCTTTTATACACATGCCCCGTTTCTCAAATATAGAGTCGGGTCGGGTGAGCTTAGTGTATTTAAAAAAAAAAACGAAAAATGTGAATTTTGAAATAGTCTCTCAAATATATTAGTACTGATTTTAAATATTTGGTAAGTGTGAGCATTTTTAGTCGCCGTCAAATATTTAATGAATTTCAAGTGTTAATTGATTTTAACAACAAATAAAAAAGTAAAAAAAGTAAAAAAATTAAACGAAAATTCACATTTAAAGGTAGAGTTTTTGCATTTTATGTTATGTTGATATATTTTCTGGCGACTATTGTAGCTTTTGCGGTGTAGTTACTGTAATTTTTATAATTTTTATTGTATTGGTAAAAATCGATCTCACCACGTGACATGACAAAATAATCGCACGTGACGGGAGCGGTTCAAGATCCATAAGCACGAAGGCCAAAATCGCAATAACAGTAGAATCGTAGCCAGGATTGTCCATCTAAATTAGGAGCAGGAGCAATCGGAAGAGCTTGTACCCGAAACAGACTATCACCTTCATTGTCGAACTCTACTGCGCTCGAAATCTTCCGAAGATCATGGTCCCCGTCTGCTATGCTATCACGATTACCGCTAGCGAGGATTTCGCCTTCCCACTAACCACTTACACAACATAGGGCTAGAAATTCAGAATGTCATATCTCACATAGGCTATAAATACCTTACCTTACTCACTTTCGGAATGTCACATCCCACTTAGGCTATAAATACTTTACCTTACTTATAACATACACCTGATGACACACAACACATTACTCACTATTTATTCTACATAGCCTTCTACGAAGCTATCATCTTGATTTTTTCTTTCAAGGATTCTTGTACACTCTAACATAGCCATATTAGAGGCCAACGCTCAATAAGAATTCTTTTATCTCAATCTCCATTTTGTTTATTCATCATTATTGTTCGTTATTTTATTATATTTATTTTGGATTATTCCGTTTGCTAGTGGCCTTAGCATAATTATTTATTTTAAAATTAATTTTTGGGTTAAACAGTTTTGTACACACCGTGGGGCTAGCAATTGAGCATCTGATCCAAAATCATAATGATTTTTTTTAATGTTTCTACTATTTTCACTTGTTCGTTACCTATTCAAGGAAAACACCAGGTATGGAGTCAATAACTAGCATGTGAACCCGATGGTCCAACTAACAGAACAAACTAGAGGATCACGAACCCCAAATGATTAATCTTTCGGAATATCGCCATCCTATTCAAGGAAGAATTTTCCAGCAATATCCACTAGGAGGGGTGATGACGATGCAGGTTAGAGGTGACAGTGAAAGATTTTATGACGCAAAAAACAACAATTGAATTCTCAAATCATAGAGGCGTTAAGGGTTCTTACAAGTGGCGCTACAGTAGCAATACCAACCCCGCCTCCAATGGTGCATGTCGACATAGAAACACCCAATTTCAAACTAAGGAATATGGGAATGGGGATACTTTCGAATAACACTGAAGGCGTAGACTCAGGTACGACCGAAAAATCTGAATTACAAAATTTAATTCTACCTTACAACAACAGGTCAAGGAGCAGAACGAGCAGATCAAATAAATCCTAGGAGTTTCACCTGTCACCAAAGGAATTGACATAAATAAATACCCTCAATAACCATAGAAGTCGAGTGCCCTCCTTTACCCATCCCAAAGAAGTTTAAAATGCCGGATATCTCCAAATATGATGAAACTTCGGATCCACATAACCATACAATGGCCTATACAACCGGATCAAATGGATTGATCTCACGAAAGAAGAAATCGAGTATGTACTCATCAAGATATCCGAAGAGACCTAAACTAAAGGATCCCTAACTTGGTACTCCCATCTACCTAAAAATTCTATTGGTTCCTTTGTTGAACTTACATATACTTTAGAAAAGCACACTCCGAAGCACAACATGTAGAAAGACGGATGAAGGATATTTTTAAAATTCAACAAGGAGACACAGAACTGCTCCGAGACTTTGTAGAGTGATACCAAAGGGAAATGATACTGCTCTCTATTGTGTCAGACAACTAGGCAAGCATGACCTTCACAAGAAACCTGAATGAGAAAAGTTTGGAAGCTACTATGAGGCCAAAAGATAATCTTTAGGAATTCCCACCCAAGACATGGAACAATGTGTACCACAAATATAGCACTAAGCTTCAAATAGAGGATGATATCTCAACGCTATCCAGATTCAAGAAAAAAAAAGATACAAGGGGATACAACCCTCGTCTAAAAGCGGTCCATAAATGAGAAGATGCTAGATACCGAGACTCCAAGGTCCGGTATGAACCTTATTCCGAGTCCTTACGTTGAAAAAATTGACCAGAGGCCAAGACTGATTCGGGATAATAGAAACTCTAGGCGAAGGAATAATGTAATACCACATCGAGCAGGGAAACACTACAACAAAAAGGGTGTTTAGCGGCAATACAAAACGGCTTAGCGACAATAATAATAGCTGTTATATCTTTTACCAGCCATTGGCATTTAGCCGCTGATGTTGGGGTCGGCAAAGCTTTTAGCGGCCTTTATGACAAAAGCTGGTAAAATATATGATCTATTGCCGCTAAAAACAAGCAACTTTAACGACAATTATTTGCGGCAATTATGATGGCTGCTAAACCCAATCTAAAAATGGCTAACTATGCTCATTTAGCTTCTTTTTATATAGTCGCTAAATTAAAATAATTGCCACTAAAAGTTGTATCTTTAATGGCAATTATTTTGTGGCAATTAGAATTGCAATAGTATCCCTTCTGAAAATGTCTTAGTTTGCCCTTTTAGCATCCATTTCAATGACTGAAATATTCAATTAAATTGTTGCTAAAAGTCAATATCTTTAACAACAATTATTTTTAGTGCTAAAATTCACAAGTTGTAACTAAAATAATTTAGGCACCATTAATAATAGTTACTACATTCATCCAGAATATGTTCCAAACAACAAAATTTATTAATACTAATTCAAAAATATGATATATCTTATTAAATCTTAACAAACAAAAGGAAGTACTAATAAAAAAAACCAATGTCACATTAACTTAAAAATAAACTTATATTGTTCGAATTGAATAGCTAATGCTATTATATAACTAATCCTGATGAATGATAATCTTCAAATAATTTCCGCAACTTTTCATCATATTAAAATCTTCCACCCGCTAAATTATTGAACATTAGAGTGTGACCTGAAATTATAAAAAAAACTGTGTCAAATGATAAAATATAATGTGAAAAAATATATTGAAGAGTCTATCATTGTCAGTCTGTCATATTCTTTTTCAGCCAACTCCCTCACCTAACATTTATTAGCAAAAACAACTAGATGGATTAATAGGCGAGTAAAATGTATGTGCAAATAATGCAAATAATACCAGGTCGTATGGTGTGTCCAGACAAGTTTAAACCAACATGGACGATTCTTGATTAACCAGCAAGTTCCACTGGCAGGACACTGATTCTGTAGCCATGTCATTTATAGATTATAGATCCAAATCAATCTGCACAATAGAAGTTGCAGAAATTTAGTGCATCTGCTCATGAAAAGGGATTACTTATCTATAGTTGAAATATAGACTATGAAGGCAAAATGAACCTTGATTCTTTTCAAGTTCTCACTCCTAGCTCTTTGTTCATTGAGGGTCACATGTATCGATGCTAGTTCCTATTAAGTAAGTAAGAACACATGTTCAGACAAGAAAATTTTGATTTGGTTTTTAAAATATACAAGGTAATCATCAAAACTGTTGGAAACCGATCATCTTCAAAGAAATTCAACTGGCATTTTTAAGAGAAAAAATTTCTTTGCTAGAACTACAATTTCTTCTCGGAAATAATTTTTATTAGTAGATTCTTCTCACAATCTATAACTTAGTGCCAATTCAGCACAAGGAAATAACAAAAGATTGATTATATTTTCCATATAATCTTTTTATTAGATTTTACTGATTTTATAATAAAAAGATAGAAACATATGAAAAACTCGATGAAAGCTTATATCATCACAGAAAGAACAAAAAGGTGTGCAGTTATCAAATAAAAGTTCAAGCATTGTAGTTAATTCAGGTCACAACTCATAAGTTTTGCCACATTCATCTAGTGATTTTACTAGCACCTCAAGATTCACCTTAATGTGTCTAGAATGGTTCTATAAAAGAGAAACTTCTGATTTAGAAAAGTCAACTTATCTCTATTAACTTGATTAGTAAAATAATATAGCAACCTAGATACCATCAGTCTTACCATCTTAATCCATTTTAACAATTTTCTTGTGTAGCTCCAGTTTTTTCTCTTATAAAAGGTTAAACAACATAATAATAGTTAAATTACAAGCTCGGCCAATTTCACATTATTTTTAAAAAAGAAGCATACCTAGAAGAACGGCAAAAACGATGTGCACTAAGTCTACTTCAAGTCAATTATGGACAATTTGATATCAAGATATATTAAAAAAACACTCATAGTAGTTAAAAAGATAGTTGTTGAAGAGCTGCCATAGAGAATGAAAGCAAACTCTCCATGGAAATCTCTACTAACTTGATTTGTATGATAAGGACCTTTATCCATCAAAGTTATACATGCCTCTACAACAACGATTACTTTATTCATTATATTTTTTAACCATATTATTACTTTAGATATTATACATTCTCAATGTGGCGTTAAACAAGCAGAATATACCATCCACAACTGCAAATAACCTAGCAGCAACAAAATATTGATAATAAAAATGGCCTATCATATAATTACTTATTTATAAGGAAAGATATTCAAACAATTATTTATATATGACATGCAAGAACAAAGAATAAATAAAGAGTTATCAATGTGTGCTAATCCACAGAAAGTTCTAATTTTTTTGCCTCTCCCTCTCCCTAAAAAATTAACAATAAAGAAGAATGTTCATTGACTAGGAACGTTCCCCATTTGGGATCAAGTTAACAAGATAATGTTAACTAGAATGATCTTCCATTCAAATCC